GAGGTTGGGACCAAGACACAGAGCAGTTAGGAAGAGAGGACAGTGAAGACAAAACAGAACCACAAGTTGAGCAGAGAGGAAAGGAAAGCCGCAGGCATCACCTCCAGGATCTTTACCTTGGCTGCTTGGTCAAACAGAGCTCAAGATTTAACTAGTGGCGCCCAGGGCCCATGCTGGCTGGTGGGCACCGGCTGGCTCCTGGCTGGGGCGCCCGGCCCAGATGCCCCACCCCCGCGGGACTCCGCGGTGGGGGCCCTGACTGACTAACTGCCTGAGCAATCACATTCAGCTAGACCGCTGCATTGTGCACAGCGGTGCCCTGCCTGTCTGCCTGGCCGGGGCAGGCGGCTCAGCCCAGGGGCTCATGTATGGGCTGGGTATGGTGGGGGTGGAGGTGGGTTTGCTCCGAGCTCCGTCGATGAGCGGGTGTAGTTCCCAGTTCTGGCTCTTTTCAAGGAGGAGGAGCAGAAAGAGGATGAGGAGGAGGAGCAGGAAGGGGGGAAAAGATGGTTGATTAAAATTAAAACATCCACAAAAGGAAAAAAAATTAAAATTCTTTTTCTGCCAAATGACCCTGAGATCTTTGCTTTTCTTGTCTTGATTCACTCGTCGCTTTTGGGAGGATGCCACAGCCACACAGGGTCCTGGTGATCAGGAATGACAATGACCCAATACAAGCAAGTGGGAAGCAGTCTGTCTGCTGCCCCAAAGGGCCAGGTGGCTCTGGCCCACTGCCTGGAGGTGTCCCAGTGAGGACAGTGGAAAAGGGAGATGGGGGTGTGTGGCAGTCACTGAAGGAGTAGACCCCATCAGCCAATGCTGTTATGCTTCCCCTCCCCCACCCCCAGGAAGTTCTGGATTGGGGAAAATGGGAAGAGGACAGGGCTGCAGCTCCACCGGCAAGGCCAGGGAAACATGCCAGGGAAAAAGTAGCAAGGAAGCTGGGGCACTCACCACTCCTCGTCTTTATGAGCCAGGAAAAAATCCTGCATCTGCTGCCTTCGAAAATCTAGCTTGTAGTCATTATACCGCTTAACAGCCTCGGTCTCATCCACAGAGTCATCCAGTGACAGGAGGAACTCCTTGAAGGTCTTCATCACTGGCGGCGGCACACCCAAGTCAATCTCAGCAATGCTGCCCAGCCT